GGCCGCTGGTGTGAAACGGCTTTTAAAATCGAGAAAGCAGGAGGACAGACAACCCCTCAGGCGACCGCAGAGTTTCCAGGCACGAGAGCTGTGTGGAATGAGAGGAGCTCAGGAGCGTCCCTGAAATCCGAGGAGATCGAGCAGCGGGAACATTTATTGAGCGTTTACTGTGTGTCACCAGCTGCCCACCCTAGGGAGGGAAGAAAGGAGGAAGGAGTGCGCCTTTCCACCTTTCGTCCTCCGTTCACTCAACATGGACTTGCGGGGCCACCTGCTCCGTGCGCATTTTCTTTCTCCGAAGCTCGGAGCAAGGGCGTGGGGATGCGGGAAGCAGGGCTCAGCAGGTTCAAGGGGACGTGGGCAGTCGGGGGCGGGGCGGATATTGGGCGAGGAAGCGCGAGATGCTCAAGAATCTGACTGCGCCGGATTCTTGTTTAGAGGGAGGTGAAGCGAGGGAGGAGGCGCGAGTGACACCGCGGGAGGCAGGAGGAGAGGTCTGGGAGGTGGGAAGAGGGGCGGACTTCATTCGGGCAAGTTACCTTTAAATTCCCTGGGACAGACATCCGGATTTGGGGAACTGGGACAGAGCTAGACCAGTGCTGGGAATTTGGGGTTGATGGAAGAAAAAAATAACAGGACCCGGTAGAACCCCAGGTTGAAATGATATATGATGGGATGTGGGTCAAGAAATCGGGAGTGTTCTCCTGTCTCGGCTTCCCATCCCTTCCCTCTCACCACCCACTCCACCCCAGGCGATAAAGCCCAAAAAGTCGGAGATCCAACAGCGCTAGCGCTTGAAACGGCTTTTAAAAATAGAGAAATTGAGAGGACCGATGGCCGCTCCGGTGACAGCTGTTTCCAGACAAGAGCTCTGTGCAACGAGGGGCTCACAGGAGCATACCCTCAATTCCAAGGAGATCGCTTAGCCGGGACGTTTATTAAGCGCTTACTGTGTGCCACCTGCGTGTTTTCTGTCCAAAGCACGCAGGAAGAAGGAATCAAAGCCTGGTACACCAGGCAGGCGAGGTGGGGAAAGGAGTTATGCGCGCGTGTACCACGGACTTTGGGGCAAGTCTGGATGGCTGGGAAGCCAACCTCCATCCAAAGGCAAGTGCGGGCGTGGGCGCCCGCGTGCACACACACACACACACACACAGGCCTCACAAGTTGGATTGCAGGAGAGGGTGAAGTAGGCAAGGAGACCCAGTCTGCTGTGGCGCTTGAGGATGGTATATATAGGCTACCGAATTCATTCCACTAGCTTTGCACATTTAAGACAAATGTGAATTCCCCAGACTCTGGGACTCATTTCCCCCCAACACCACCCCCCCTTTTTTTTTGAGACGGAATCTCGCATCTTCTCCCAGGCTGGAGTGCAGTGGCGCGGTCTCGGCTCACTGCAACCTCCATCTCCCGGGTTCAAGCAATTCTCCTGCCTCAGCCTCCCAAGTAGCTGGGATTACAGGCGCGCGCCACCAAGCCCGGCTAATTTTTGTATTTTAGAAGAGACGGGGTTTCACTATCTTGGCCAAGCTGGTCTGGCCTCGTGATCCACCCGCCTCAGGCTCTCAAAGTGCTGGGATTACAGACATGAGCCACCGCGCCCGGCCGGGACTCACTCCATTTGAGGGTTAAACTCTGCCTCACTGGGCTCCTGCCCCTCTGGCGTTCCCACAGTCGGGAACCGAACACTGGCCGTTCGGCAGCCAGCGTGGGCCGAGCAGGCCGGGCCAGGAAAGGACTGAGCCGTAGCCCCGTATCCCACATGCCCCGGGACCGGAAGATGGAGCCGTGGTTTCCGGACCTTCTCCCGCCCCTCTGGGCTTTTGCTTTGTTGGGCTGGTGTTGATTCAGTGTCTGTTTGTTATGGCCGCTGCGGTCGCTATAGAGACGGGTGAGTAGCTCTCTGAGCCTGGAGTCGTCGCAGATAGACCTCTCCTCCGCCCAGACCGCTTCTCCTGCTTACCCCGGGCCTCCTTCCAGGCCTCACTCTCTGCAGGGTTAGTATGTGGACAGGGAGGAGACAAGGCTCTTGTAGCGTCTAGAAAGGCTAAGGTACTCTGAAGTTTTCCTAATTTGGTTTGTTTGCACATCTTTGCTATTCACACACGACCCCACCAGCTCCCCGGCGTGGGCGACACTAAGGGAGAGGAGTTGTGTCTTAAAGTGTGTCCCTGATTGGCTTTCTGCTTCTCACATGAGCTTGCATAAGTTTGAAATATTGTCGCCAGACTTGTGTATCATTCTTCTACTTGTTCTTCTTATATATTCATATGTTCCGTGATCTTTTAGGCTCTCTGCAGTCTCTTTTTCAGCTTGCATCCTAAGTTTTTCTTAACAGATTGAGCACGTGGCTTTTGGGAAACTTAATCACTGTTAACAATTGTTACAACACATTAAAATAGGGGAAGCCACAGTTATTACAGCCTATCTTAGTGATCACTGTTAAAATTCCTGCAAAGTGGCCCACGAGTGGTAGGAATTCTGCTCCGTTTGTGTGGCTGTTTTCTTTGATGACTTCTTTTTAACTTTAGAGGTAACCCTCTTCCATGACTGTTTCTTAGGTCTCACTACAATCCTGGTATGCAGAAATGGGGTGCTGCCCCAGCGGACCATACTCTAGCTTTTCAAACTGCCAGAACTGTCAGTGTTTCTCAGCCTCGGCACTATTGACATTTTGGGACCAGTGGTTCTTCGTTGTTGGCAGAGGGTGGGGTGTTGACCTGTGCACTGTAGGATGTGAGGTGCCATCCCTGGCCTCTACCCATCAGGTGCTAGTAGCCCCTTCTGTGCACCACCCCCCAACTTTTCCACCAAACTAAAATGTCTCTAGACGTTGCCTTATATCGTTTGGGTGGAGGGGGGGGATCAAAATCACACTTAGTTGAGAACCACTGTCCCATATTCTACACACAGAAGCCAGAAGGATATTTTTAAAATGTAAATGGCATCATGTCATTCCCCTGTTGGAAACCCTCCAATATTTTCCTGTTGACCTTAGAATAAATCTCAAACTCCTTACTGTGGCTTAGAAGACCTTCTGTGGACTGGCCCCTGCTTGTTTTTAATCTCCTGTTTTACATTCTGCTTCCATGTATATATAATTGCCCCTCTCTCACTCCAGCCACACTGGCCTTCTTTCTGTTCCTTGAACATTCAAAACTTGTTCCATCTACCTTTTGTATTTGCTGTTCCTTCTGCCTAGAATACACCCTTTCCAGATCACTGTTTACTCACACATATCTGAGATTAAATGTTACCTAATCAGTAAGGTCTTCCCTGACCATTTTATCAAAAGAAACATCTTACTTCCATTCTCTATCACATTACCCATATATTTCCTTCATAGTGCTAATCACAGTAGAAAATTGTCTTGTTTCATCATTGCTTGTCTGCCTTTTCACCACTGTAAGCTCCACTAGAGTTGGGTCTTTGCCTTTTTTACTGCTATAGTCCAAGTTCCCAGAATACAGACAATTCCCAGTGGTACAAAAGTGACATTCAGCAGAAATACTACTTTAAGTACCCATACAACCATTGTTTCTCACTTTTAGTATAGTTTGACTTATTTCACCATGGTACAAAAGTGACATTCAGTAGAAATACTACTTTAAGTACTCACACAACCATTGTTTCTCACTTTTAGTACAGTAAGCAATAAATTACATGAGATATTCAACATTTTATTATAAAATAGGCTTTCTGTTAGATTATTTTGCTCAACTTTAGGCTAATGTGTCCTGAGCATGTTCAAGGTAGGCTAGGCTAAGCTATGATGTTTAGTAGGTTGTAGATAGTAAGTGCATTTTCAAATTACCATATTTTCTACTTACAATGGGTTTATTGGGAGGTAACCCCATTGTAAGTGGAGGAGTATCTGTAGTGCCTGGCACAGAGCAGCTACTCAATAAATATGACTCTTGTCCATCTTGTTCAAACCTCAGGTCAGGTTTCAATGACTTCCTTTCACTTTCCCTTCTAAGATTATTTTTGCTTGCTGGTAGGTTTGCTATCATTTTTAACATCTAACCTACCTTAAAAAAGTATGTGAATGGGGGTGCCAGGTAAAAGAAAACCATTTACTTTGAAACATAAACAAAGGGCAATTAATAATTTATGAGTTAGTTGCTTCTCAAGCTTTTAGCAGGCATGGAATCATTCCACAGGTCATGATTTCAGTTTGGTCTGTGTTCCTAAGGGGCGAAGGTCATCGGAGGGCTTTGGATCCCAAACTCACCTGGCTCAGAGGTTCAAACAGCCTTTGTCCATCAACCCGATTTATACAGCATCCTGGGCCTGAAAACCTTTTGTGCTGGCTTCAAGTGAATATAATTCACTGGGTCAAAAGCAGGCTGGTCCAAGACGCCGCAGGATGGTCAAAAAACGTTGGCTGTGTTCAGGAACCGCAGCCTAGCTGTTTCTTACATTGATTTATGAGCTATTTCCATGAAACCGAAAAAGATTGGTCCACCTGGCAGCTGGCTGGCTGGCAACTGGAGGCCTTTCTGTCCTGGCTGAGGGCCCTGGCACCTTGGTGGCCTTTGGGAAGCAGTATCTCATCAGGCTTCTTTCTCTCGGAGGGAGGGGGTGGTGGTGGCGGCCGGCCTGGCCCGCGGGGCTGGGCTCTCCGCGCGGTGCAGAGACGTCTCCACCCGCAGGGTCCCTGACGTGGCGGGAGGTCGTTTCCGTGCGCCGCGAGGAGGCTTCCACGTGCCAGGAGGACTCCTTGAGGACGCCAGGGAGCCACTTTCCCGACGGGGAGAGGGAAGACCCCTCGCTGCGGCCCCGTGAGGTCTCCACCCATCCGGGCGGACCGTAGACGTCTCCGCGTAGCGGGAGATCCGCACCGGGGCGAAGACTGCTTGCCCCCTGGGCTGAGGCCATTCTGCCAGGCGTGAGGGGGGCCAGGGAGGCCTCTGGGCACCCCACATACCAACCGTCACCGCAGGCAGAAGAGAGAAAAACTACTGTACTACCACAGGGGGGAGAGCCACAACACGATGATGTGGAAGCATCATTGTCCTTCGAAGGCTAAAACACTAGGCTTCTGCCCCTCGGGCGCTCCCACGGCCCTGTCCCCGCCCCCTCGCCGTTCGGTAGCCAGCGGGGATGGAGCGGCCCGGGGATGGGCGGAGCCTCCCGGCCGCATATCCCACAATGCCCCGGGACCGGAAGAGGGAGCTGTGGTTTTTGGAACTTCCCTCGCCACTCCGGGCGTTTGCTCTGTCGGGCTGGTGGCGGGTTGGTGTGTGTTTGTTATGGCCGCCGCCGTCGCTATGGAGACAGGTGAGTAGCTCTCTGAGCCTGGAGTCTTCTCAGATGGAACGCTCCTAGGCCCAGACCTCTTCCCCGGGGCTTCCTTTCAGGCCTCACTCTGCAGGGTTCGTATTTGGACAGGGCGGAGAGAAGGCCCTTGTGGCGTCTAGAAAGGCTAAGGTACTTTTCGCAGTTCTCCTAATTTGGTTTGTGCCACATCTTTGCTATTCAAAAACCACCAGCTCGCCAGGGTGGGCGAGATTAAGAGAGGACTTGTGTGTTAAACCGTGTCCTCCTTGATTGGTTTTCTGCTTCTCACGAGCTTGCGTATTTGAAATACCGTCGCTAGACTTGTGTATCATTGTGCTGTTGCTGCTTCTCAGATATGCATAAACTCCACGATCTTTTAGGCTCTCTGCAGTCTCTTTTTCGGCTTGCATCCTAAGTTTTTCTTAAAGGATTCAGCGCGTAGCTTTTGCGAAACGTAATCACTGTTAACAATTGTTACAATGCATTATTAAAATAGGGGAAGCACAGTTATTACAGCTTACCTAAGTGATCACTTAAAATTCCTGCAAAGTGGTCCACGAGTTGGTAGGAATTCTGCTCTGTTTGTGTGGCTGTTTTCTTTGATGATTTCTCTTTAACTTTAGAGAAACTTCTAACTTAATCCTTTTAATCAAGGCTCCGCTTTTCTTAGATTTCGAAGAAAGGTTTATCTCCACCCACTCCCAGTTTAGGAAGACCATCTCGATATTAGTCAGGTTTCTTTATTCTTTCCTTACCACAAATCAGTATTATATACAGTGACCTTTATTTTCGATGATTTTTGCTGTCTTGTCTCCTAGATGATGCTGGAAATCGACTTCGGTTTCAATTGGAGTTGGAATTTGTGCAATGTTTAGCCAACCCAAATTACCTTAATTGTAAGTTTTTAAGCACCTCATTAAATTGAGTAGCTGTTAATTTCTGACAGAAGAGTTGCAATTCAAAATAGTATCTGCTTGTACACATTCTCAATGAAATGAAATTACACTTAGCTGGTGTATAGATGTAATTGTGTACATTGGGACTTGTATTTTGAATCCGATGTGTGTTGGTGGTGGGAGTGTTATGTAAATAGATCCTTTATATTAGGGGTAACAAATCATAGTTTAAGAATTGGTTTGACCTACAGATTTTCTTTTTTTTTTTTTTTTAATGCTTTTCAGTTCTTGCCCAAAGAGGTTACTTCAAAGACAAAGCTTTTGTTAATTATCTTAAATACTTGCTTTACTGGAAAGACCCAGAATATGCCAAGTATCTAAAGTAAGTTTAATTTTTATAATCCTAAGCATGTGTATACTTTATTATATAATAGATTTCTTAGTTTCACATTGGCAAAAATGTATTTTGAATCTCTCCACTTCTTTCAGTTGTCACCTTAATACAAGACACCCTCATCTCTAACTTGTATCACTGCAGTAATCTATTGCCTGGTTATCTCTGCTTCCACTTTTACCTTCCTGCTCCCCTCCCGCTCCCTGCAAACCAAACAAAGCAAAACAGCTTTCTACACAGAAGCCTGCTTAATCACTTAAAAATATAAATCAGAACACTTTATTTTTTTGCCTAGAATCTTTCAATGGCTTTGCATTTCCATGCGAAATAAAATCCAGTCTCTCTTTTTTGGGCCAAACCCCTCTATGATCTGGCTCTGCTTTGTCTGACCTTGTCTTTTACCGACCTCCCCATCTCCCCAGGTTTCTGATCTCAAAGAACTCACAATCTGTAAATGTTGTTTAACATTACGTAATTTCAGCCATGGGCTGAAATTAAGAACACAAAAAGAGAGTATCTGTAAGGAAGGTGTTTGGGGTTGTTGGGAGGAGTCTTACCTGAATCTTAGAACTGCTATCTTTTCTTTAAGTCCTGTTCTGTGTCAAGAACAGTGCTAAATACTTCACATGCATTTACTCATTTATGTGTATATATATGTTTACCATTCAGGTTGTTCAGCAGACACTTTCCTGTTAAAGCTTACTAAGTTGCAAGAAGTGTATTATAACCAGAAAGCAATTCCCTTTTAATGGTAAAAAAAAACAAAAAACTACACCTTGAACTCACACCTCTGCTTTGTTTTAAGCAGGTAGTCAGAAAGCAGTAGTGAACTTTTTTTTTTAAGACAAAAATTTGAGAGGAAATGTTTCAAATTTGTCTTGAAGTCACTTTTCTGTATGCAGTAACAGTTGACTCATGAAGCATATACATCTTGTGTTGCCTGCAGGACCGTTTGTATCTTTTCTGGCTTTTTATCCATTTAATAATCCAAAGAAAAGACTTTTAAAAAAGTATATTTCAACAAATGTTGTATGTATGTAGATTTACAGACTCTGTGTTGGAAGCCTTAGCCATCCGTAAGTTTAATTTTATCCATAGTGTTGCTGAGAGATGGTCATCTACACTCCGTTTGGAAGTTTCCATTGATCCCATGTGACTCTGTCAAGGACAGCTGATTCGATTGTTAGCCAGAAGTTATAAAGTTCTTCCTTATATTGTGATATAATATACTTCCTTGTAGCTTCAATCTGTCCCTGGATTAAGCTAGAACCATTCTATACCCTCTTGGGGACAACAGCCTTTTAGATATTTACATTCAAGAGAGATTGCAAATTAGCCCATTTTGGGCATTTTATTTAGTCTGCCCAAGATTTTAGTTTTTTTTTTTAATGCTTGCCAATATTTAAAGATCAGAAAGTTTTATTTAATAAATGCAGATTTCCAGCAACTCTTTAAAATCTGGAAGATTTAGCAACCATAGATCTTAATTCTTCCAATCAACAACTGGCTGATGCTGAGAGCAGCTGCCACTACTAGCTGCTTTCCACCTGGTGGAAGAGACTTTCTACCACTTGGCTTGGTTCATTGCTAACCAGTAGCTGCCACTATAACACCTCTCTTATGTCTCTTTTTCTCAACTCCCTTCAGCCATTGTGCCATGGTGCCCAGACTTCTCATGAATTCAGGTTCCCTCCTTTGGATATTTGGCAGTTGTACCTTATGCAGTTCAGCCAAGAACTAAACACAGGCCTTCAGATGTGGTCAGAGTACAGTGGGTCAGAGGTTCTTTCTTTTCTTTATGTGGACATACACCTCTATTAATTAAACTTAACGTTTATATTACTCTTGGGGTGGGGTGGGGAGAGGATCACATTGTTGACTTGCTAGGTGCATTAATGTCAACTGAAATCCTTCAGTTCTTACTTTCATCAATGCTGTTGGGTTCTCCCTATCTTGTTTATTTTTTAAAACACCAAATGCAGAACTTTCCTTTTCTACTGCTTCTGTTTCATCTTGTTGACTTGTAGCCTATCCAGAGTATGATTCTTTATTGTCGTCTAATACATTCTGATATAAACGCTGCCTGTCTAAATTCTAGTTATTGACCAAATGCTATTTGAGACTTGGTTGTCACATTATTTTACAGCTGAAGAAGCTAGCTGAACTTTAGAGAGGTTAAGTACCTTGTTAAAGGCTACCAGGCTGGACCTTAAATCCTGGTCCTTTTAACTACTGGTGCTGTCATGAAAGGGAATTAGCCAGGGCAGGTGTGAATAGAGCATTCTAGCATAAGCAGCCAGCAATTAGAGCAATTGTGTACTTTTAGTGTGTAGATAGCAAACCTTTACTGCCTTGGAAGTTACTCTCTTCGAAGCATGGTACTAAGCCCTCTATTCAGTGTGGTGTTCAGATCAGTAGCATTGGTTGCATTTGGGAGATTTTTAGAAATGCAGAGCTCATGCCCCACTGCAGACCTAAGGAGTCAGTCTGCATTTTAAGAAGTGATTCATACACACATTAAAGTTTGAGAAGCATTGCTCTAGCATCCTATTTTCCAAACTAGTCATTTGCATATCACTTCTACAACTTTGGCTTTATCTGCATACTTCCTATATTTCAATGTATTTTGTCTCTTTTAAATGCTTTTATATATTTTCAACTTGAAATAATTTTACTTACAAAATACCTGAAAAAATAATAAAGAGAATTCTTGTATTTTCTTCATCCAGATATTCCAGATGTTTAACAATACAATCAGCAAAAATCAGAACATTAATATGAATTTATTACCTAATCTACAGAGGTCAGATTTTGCCAGTTGTCCAGCTGGTGTGCTGTATGCAGTACAGGATCCAGTCTAGGCCTGCATGTTGCATTTATTGTCATGTTTTCTTAGTCTCCTTTAATCTCAGTGGTCTTTTCTTTGCCATGACTATGACAGAAATGATTTTGTATCTGTCATATATCTACAGTCACATGAAGTCTATTTGTTCCACAACTGGTGATATTAATTTTGATAACTTGGTTGAGGGTGGTACCTTCTAGGTTTCTCCATATCAAGTTACTATTTTTCCTTGTATATTTAAAATGTATCTTATGGGGAAATCCTTTGAGACTATGTAAATATATTACATATATTTTTGCCCATTAATTTTAGCATCATTTGAAGATACTTGCTTTTGAGGAAACAGTTTTCATTGTGATTTTCTAAATCTTTCATTCTCCATTTATTAGTTTGGAATTCGATTGTAGGGAAGTACTTTTTCTTGTTTTTTATTTATTCTTTTATTAAAGAAATTTGCATCCATTTAGTATGGACTTTTGGATTCTTATTTTTATTCTGTGAATTTTAATTATGTATTTTCAAGCTCTGAGTATTCCAGATTTGGCCATTAGGAGTCCCTTCAAGTTGGCTCCTGAATACTTTTGATCCTCCCAAGAATTTTTAGCACTTTTTCTTCTAGCATTACGTAATGTTCCAGGCTCATCTTGTCCTTTCCCTGTCTTATCCCTGAATCAGACTTTTCTCCAAGGAAACCTGCTCCTTGGAAACGGGGCACTGTGTGTTCATTAGTACCACAGTGTCATTGCTTCTAGGCCCTCTCAGTACACAAAGCTCAAGAACTCTATATATGTATGTATGTGTATACATGCACACACATATATATCTGTCTATGTCTCTATATATTAAAAGCCCTAAGTACATGTTGTTTTCAATACCAGCTCGGTAACACAGGGTTCGTTCTAGCCTTTTTCCTTTACTTGTCTATAAGTCCTTTTCTGGTAGCCAGAAATTTGGCTCTCCATATCCACAGTATATTTACTTGTCCAATCCTAGAGTATACCTAATTTCAGAATTGGTATACCCCTGTGGACAAGAGTACAACGTATATGCATAGTCCTCTTTCAAACTGAAATTGTGTTTTTATCACTATTGATGGAAAAACCAGTAACTATCAATTAAACACATAATTACTAAAATATGTTCATGTTCTTCACCTTGGAAAGCACTAGAAGGGAATAGCATGGTTTGTCCCTAAATTTTCACTCTGCTTACCAGTTACTGTGTTCTGTAGTCTTGAGCAAGTTAATTTAATCTTTCTGAACTTAAACCTTCTCACTTGAAAATTTTGCTGAACACTGACTTTTGATGACTATGCAGGGGAAAAACCCTATGCTACTAGAGTGTACTAAGTTAATGTTATAGAAATGGTAGGCTACAAGATCATTTTTAAGAGAATAACTGAATTAGACCTTGGCATTATTTACTACTTAAATTATGTTGTTCATTCACTTATAAACTTAAACCCAGGTACCCTCAGTGTTTACACATGTTAGAGCTGCTCCAGTATGAACACTTCCGAAAGGAGCTGGTGAATGCCCAGTGTGCGAAATTTATTGATGAACAGCAGATTCTACACTGGCAGCACTATTCCCGGAAGCGGATGCGCCTTCAGCAAGCCTTGGCAGAGCAGCAACAGCAAAATAACACATCGGGGAAATGAAAAACTGGATACAGATGAGGCTCTGAAGATATATATATATATATATATATATATAAAATGTATTTCTTATGTACAGTGAAGACAAAAAAAATGAAAACTCTTCCTATCTAGCTTTATTATGGTAGCATCTAGAACTGTTAGTATGCTTTTTAATCAAACTAACTTTTTATTGTTAATAGACTATCACTGTTAAACCTGAAGTGTTCTACTTTGATTTCCATATGGATTTTAAGGTGTTTCTTTTTTAAGCATTTAGTATAATCAGCTGATTAATAATGGAAAAGTTAGGTGCTTTAGACCAAATAAAGAAGGCATTGGGGCATGGGGTAGGGGTGGGTCACTAAGTATACTGAATTCTAAGGCTAGCTCTTCCTGACATATAGTAGGGCAAGGCCATCTCCTGGAACCTGTTTCTCAGATCAACTACTCTACCACTCTTACCTATGTAGTGAGAGTAGCGGAGTCAGTGACTTGTTTAAATCACCAGGAAGGAACTACATAAAGGTTCTTAAATTCTGCAGGAAAGGAAATAACTGTATACATGTTTTGCAGGGTGGCTTTAAGAATCACTGTGACCTCGCTTGACCTAATCACGGCACAACAACTAGTGGTTAATTACTAATTGGTCTCTTGACTTTAGAACAAAGATGAGGAGCCTCAAATACTTGTGCTCACTTGGGAAAGCGAACACTGAATTGGGGGGGTACCACAAACCAGGTGCTATGTTAAGTGCTTCCTTGAATTCTCAGAACCTTGTTTATAAAAGACAAAACTGTGGTTTGGATAGGGTGACTAACTTAACTTGCCTATGGTTACACAGCTAGTAAGTGGTAGAATCAGTGTGACTGACTCCCAGGTTGGAGTTCTTCCCACCACTAGGTGATATAGTCTCTCTAGCCCCTCTCTGCCACCTGCCTCATCCCAAGTAAAGCATGTTGAGTTAGCTGTAAAACGAACTGCCTCTAGTGCTCAGGAGTCTGTTTTTTAATAAATGAAACAAAACTGCCTTAATTAAACAGGCTGGATTAGAGGTACTGTGCTTCCCTTCAGTGGTGAGGTTAGGTTCTACAATCCAAAATCAAAGAAGGGGTTTCAGAAATACCAGTTGCTTTGCAGATGCACAGAATTTAAAAAATCCTGATCTTTTTAGAGATTTGGAAGGTGTCCTCTGTACCTTTTTAGGGGCTTTTAGGCATTTCTGTCACTTTCAATAATACATTCCTTTGAGCTCTTACTGCTACTTCTAAAGATATATTACAGGCAAACTACAGGTTCATGGGCATTTTAATAGCAGTTTAAATGCCAGTTTTTTTTTTTTTTAACATTTATTGCTAATATGAATTCAAAGCACATATACAGTTTATTGATACTAAAATCAGGAAATCATGGGCATTTTAATAGCAGTTTTAAATGCCAGTTTTTTTAACATTTATTGCTAATATGAATTCCAAGCACGTATACAGTTTATTGATACTAAAATCAGGAAATCAAGACATGATTGCCATCATATAATCTTAATCTTCAGAGAACAACATTTCCACGAGGTTGGCCTGAAGACACTCAGATTCTACCAGTTTTTGAGGCTGTAAGAGAAGAACAGTCAAATGTTAACTACTCCTATAAAACATTACTAGGAGTGGAATGAGTTCTGCATTGAATGACACTAATCTTTGAAGACAGAAATTACGCAATTTAGAAACTATCAACTAGTTATAACAAGTTTTATGAAAGAATCAAGATATTTGCTGTAAGATGAATCACTAACATACTTGGCTCAAGGGACTTAAATCCCAAATGCCAGGAAGCTCCACAGACTAAAACAGGAGACAGCAAGCCCAGTACCCTCTTCTTCCCCTCAACTCTGTAAGTTAGGATCCCAGGGGCATGACTTAAGTAGAGGAGGTGCCCTTTTTAACCAGAATTAGGAATTACATAGAAAACAACTGTTGATGCCAGTGTTTTAAGGAATTATCAGTCAGCCTACTTTCTGGTTATAGAATTTGTTAACAGTGACCATGAAAAAGACCTAATAGCTAGATATTTACATTATTAATTTATTGGGATTGGCCATAGGAGTGGACTCTCCACAGCACTCTGAACTGCAGTGGAATTGAGATGCAATGTCAAGATCTTTTCAAAGCTGGATCCACACCAAGTTAAAAGAGTTTTGACAGTGAATTACAGGCCCAGCATATTTAAAGATACTTACTGTTCCATACTTAAGTAGTGTAGGCACTGCTGTTACTTTCAAGTTTTTTCTGAAGTCATTATTTGGATCTTTCCAACTATCCAAAAGAAAAAGTGATCATGAAAAAAATTTACTTGGTTTTACAGTTTGCTTAATATTTGACATATCCCTATATTTTTTAGTAATCATTGTTCTTGCAGACACTTAAAAAACCTTGAGGGCTATGGCTTAATCTATTAATTACCCTGTGCAGTTTTAAAGCGTGACTATGATATAAAAGTAAAGCCAGCTAAGTTCTGGGTTTACGCCAGACCAAATTCGTTGAATTACCCTTACTTAATTCAGGTGGCCATTTTAAATTTGTATTTAATAGCTTCTAATTGTTTAACTTGTCAGACAAAACTTTGTAAAGAGAACCTCGGTGAGTCCTTGAGGCCCTTCCCGCCTAAGTTTACAATTCGTGCATATCTGTGAAGTAGAGTATACATTGCCACTTACTAAGGCTTGTCTCCTACTTGGCAGTAGATGAACACACATCCTTCACTAACGTGCTTCAGCCCCTCTCGTACGACTGGTTCAGCTTTAAAAAAAAAAAGTTGAGATAAACCCGTCAACTCTACAATCAAGCACTAATTGTTTAGTGTTCCTTTCCCCTTCCCCCAGTCTTGGTAAATACTCAGACTTTAACCTGCAGCTAACTGAAGAGATCAACAGAAGTCAGGCGTTCACTTCTGGTATTAGAACCACATTAAGGGTAAGGAACAAATCCCAGTCCAAATTTGCCCCCCGCACCACCGCACCCACAACAATGTAAAGCACATGCATTTGCTGACCAACTGACGCATCCTGTAAGACACTAATAGTACTGGGTAAGTGAGAAGTTTTAAGGAACTAGATTCCAAGATCATCCGGGTAAAATGGTAAAAAGAAGAACGCTCTTGGCAGGGCAGGGTGGGATTTTATCGGAGGAGACGGGGACAGATCTGATTGCCTCGTGGATGTCTGGAATCAAGACACTCCGCCTCCACTAAGCCCCCTTTTTGGCCATAGCCTCCACCTTCCTGCCTTTCCGCTGTATAGAAGCTCCCGAATCCCGGCCTCACCCTGCACGCAGTCGGGGCACCAGCTTTTCCCTCCAGCGTCCTTAGAACCTGTAAAGTAGGCGAAAATGGTCTTGCCATTGTGCTGTTTCACGGCCCGGTTGAACTCCTCGAAGCCGGACACACTCACCTCCTCGTAGCGGGCCATCGGCACGACGTGGAACTGCTGCTAGAGGAGTGCAAGTCTGGCCACGACGTGGAACTGCTGCTAGAGAAGTGCAAGTCTGGCCGCCGCGGGCGGGGCCCACTGGGCGGGGCGGGGCTGCTTCCGGGTGGGCAAGAGGGGGCGGGGTCTATGGACCCAGAGCCGCTGTAGAGTACGGGAGCCTCTGAGGACCATAATGCACCCTCATGGCTTTCTGCTCTCGTTTCTCAGCTCTTTCTGGGCTAGCTGCACGCCCAAGCCCATGCCTCTACCCCAATCTAGTCCCAGCCCCGGCCCCATGGACACTGGCTGCGAAACTTACCGCCTTGCAACACCTGAATCCTGAAGTAGTTCAGGAGCTTTAACAGCTCCCAAGCCGCCCTGCGCCTGTTGCTATGGCGACTGGGATGGCGGCCGGAAGCGCGGCCTAGTTGGGGGACCCCCTTGCCTGCCTCCCAGTAGCCGCGCCTCGCCCCAGGCCAGGTGGGCTCGGGCTAGGGTTAGGAAGGATTCTGGGAAGCTGCGGCAGAGGAGACCTGACGCAGACAGCCTTTATTGCTTTGTCCCCCCAATTACCTTTTCTGCCGTCTAGGCTTTAGGGGGGCCTGGGACTGGGGGCGGGTTCCCGAGCCTGGGCGGGGGTGGGATGGGCTGGGGGCTGGGAGGGAGAAAGGCTGCGAAGCGCAAGCTGAGTGTATGAGTGCGTGTGTGGAGCAGCTTAGGGAACGAGGTGCTAAGACACCACCCCCCAGGGCCGCTTTAGGGAGAGAGGGAACTGCCCTAGAGCTATGAGCCGGGCGACTGGCCGTGGAGCCTTGCCCAGGCTGCGCAGGGGCGAGCCAGCGGCTAAGATGCCGGGTCGCTGCGTTGGGCCCAGCAGGTCGGGGCGGGGAGTTCGGCGGCCGTGGGGGAAGAGACGGGGCGCGGGGACCTCCCGAGGCCGTGGAACAAGGCGCCGGGCGAGGTCCTCGGAGTGGGAGACGCGCTGTGTGAGTGCAGGAAGGCCGCAGGGCAGTCGGCGGCCGTGGGGGATGAGACAAGCTGCGGAGACCAACGATGCCGCCGGGGCGAATGAGGTTTCGGGAACTCCTGGGACCGCAGGCTCCATCGAGGCTGCAAGGGACCCTGGGGCTGTGTGGGTGAACGGAGCTGTGGGAGAGCCCGAGGTGGTGGGGCCTGCCGGGGCTGTGTGGGTGACCGGGTCTGGGGAGGAGGAGACCGAAGATAGGAGTCCCCGGGTCTGCGAAAGAAAAGGTCGCCCGGGATCTCTGGGCCATGAGAGCATTCTTCACCTGTGGCTGAAGGTGCAGGCTATGAGAGCCGCCTCGGGATGTGGGGAAGGAAGTAGAGTCGAGCTCCATCCCTTGCCTGCAGGAGAGGGACCCGTCGAAAGTGGTGTTCCTGGCCGAGCTTCCTGGGTAGAGACAAGCCATGGCGGTCTTACAGGGCCCTGGGTGAAGGGACAGGCAAGGGGGTTCCCTCGGGCCCCCTCAGGGCCTACAGCTCTGGGCTTAGGGGCAGCTTACAAAAGAGCCTTAGGCTTCTGTGGACAGGGACAGGCGGGAAGGGTGCCTCCTCCTGCGGGCGTGCCTGTGGCTCTGGAGTCAAGGTCTGAGACGGCCCTACATCTGTGGAGGGGACAGGCTGTGGGGGTTCCCGCGGCTGGGAAGGAGATAGGATATGGGATTGCCCCAGGCCCTTGTGTAAAAGGACAGGCTGTGGGCGAGCCTGGGGCCGTGGGGTGGCCTGGTGCTGTGGGAGCACCCAGAGCTGTGGAGGAAGAGCTCGGCTGCGGGGGTGCTACAGGGCAATGGGGGAGAGGACAGTCTCCGCAGATTCCTGTGGCTCTGGCACATGAAACAGTCTGTGGGGCCAGCCCTGGTGTATGGGGGAGGGGACAGGCTGTGGGGGTGCTCGACCCAGTGGTGGAGGAGCCTACCTCTGTGGTGGCCGCAGGTGTATGGCACAGGAGACAGGCTGTGGAGGAGACAGGTTCTGTGGTTATCCCTGGCCTGTGGGGCACAGGACACTCTGTCGGGGTGCCTTGTGCTACTGAAGAGGAAACTAGATATGGAGGTGACCCAGGGTTCAGGGAAAGGGGACAGCCTATGTGGGTGGAGACAGGCTCTGGGGGTGACCCAGGGTCACGGGGAGCTGCACAGACTGCAGAGCCATCATGTCTTGGGGAGCAGGCGGCAGGCCTGTGGGGGATAGAACAGCCTACAGGAATACCCAGGGCCTTGGGGAAGGACATGGGTTGTGTGAGTGTCCCAGGGCAGTGGGGAGTAGGACAGCCGGTTGGGGTGCCCCAGGCTGTGGTGGTACCGGGAGCCCTGGGAGAAGAGCTGAGCCACAACAGGGCCATGGGCCTGTGGGATGGACAGCAAGCTCTTGGGGGGCCCCCAGCTGAGGCAGTGCCTGGGCTTGAAGAGGAGACCGATGGTAGGAATGTCCCGAGCCTGTGGGAAAGGAGGCAGGCTGTAGAGGAGCCAGGGAGTCTGGGGCCTTCAGCTTTAGGGATCCCTGGGTCTGTGGATCAAGAGGCTGACTGTGGCGAAGTCTCATGCCTGTGTGGGAGGGGGCAGGCTGTGGGGGTATCTGAGACAATGGGCATACCCAGGGCAGCAGGTGGGATCCAGCACAGGTGTGCGGCAGCAGGGGTCCCAACGGTGATGAGTGCTCCAGGCTGTGGAAAGGTGCCTGCCAGAGTGCCAGCTGCTGTGTGGGTGTCTGGCCCTGTGTGTCAAGAAGGCAGCTCTAGAGACATTTTGAACCTGTGGGAAAGGGCTCAGGCTGCCAGGTTATCTGTGGCTTCAGGGGGATTCATGGCTCGGGAGGAGCTGTGGTCTGGCGGGGAAGATAGTGGTTCTGGGGCTTTCCCAGACCCATGGGAAAGGAGACAGATTATTGGGGTTCCTGTGGTGCCTGAGGGGCCTGGGCTTGGGGAAGAGGCTGACTCTGGGGGTATCCCAAGACCTTGGGGACGGAGACAGAGGGTCAGGGCTCCTGTGGCCACTGACATGCTCCTGGCTCCTGGGATGCCTGGTTCTCTGGAGCTGGAGCCTGGCTCTGGAGGCTTCTCAGGCTTTTCGGGGAGGCAGCAAACTGCAGGAATGCCTGGGACTCTGGGGCTGTCTGCAGCTAGTGGGGTGCCTAGGCCTATGCAGGAGGAAACTGGCTCAGAATTGTGGGGAGAAAGAGAGAGAGTAGGTGGGCCTGCAGATACCAAGGGTCCCACAAGGATGGGGGTGCCCAACTCTACCAGGATGCCTGGGCCCACGGGGGAGAAGACTGGCTCTGGGGGTGTCTCAGGCTTGTTGGGAAGCAGACATACTACAGGAGTGTCCATGGCTGTGGGGGTGCTGGGGTCTGTGAGAGAGGGGACATTCTCTGAGCATGTCTCTGGCCTGTCTGGAAGCAGGCAGACTCCTGGGAGGCCTGTGGCTGCTAGAGGTTCCATGGCTGTGGGAGTGCCCACAGCTTCCGAGCTCCCTGTGCCAATGGTGGGGGATACCAGCTCTGGGGATGATGGCTCAGGCATATGGGAAAGGAGACTGGCCACTGAGGGGCCTGCTGCTGCCAGGGTTCCTGGACCTGTGGAGGGGGAGACAGGCTCTGAAAGTATCTCAGGCCTATGGAGAAGGAGACATGGTGGAGCCATTCCCGAGGCTGGGAGGGTGCCTCTGCCTCTGGGGGTGCTCGCAGCTGTAGGAGCTCCCATGGCAGGGCGTGCGCCTGCTGTAGTGTGGGTGACTGGGTCCTCAGGAGCAGAAGCAGATGGGGGTGTCTCAGGTCTGACTATGTGGAGACAGTCCACAGTGGGGGCTTCAGAGGATGAGACAGGAGGTGGGAGCATTTTGAGACTGGCTGGGAGCAGCCAGGCTGTGGGGGCATCTCACACCTGTGTCCCCGAGGCCAGGTTATGGAGCTGTCCAAGGTCTACAGGGGAAGAAATGGCCTATGAGAATGCCCTAGGCATGTCAGGGACAAGAACAGCTGTGGGGATATCCCCAAATTCAAGAGAGGACGCAGGCCTTGGCCATTTCAGAGACCTCCCACAGCCAAGTGGGAGGAGGCTGGCTAGAGGAGTGTCTGCAGTTAGAATGAGAGGGAGCAATTTGGGAGAGAGTTATGAGGAGGAGGCCAGTTTGAGGGGGGTGTTCCAGTAGTGTGTGTAGGGAAGAAGTTGGGGGTAGGCGTTCTGGGGCTCTGTGGGAGGGAGCGGGTTAGGGGGAGGTGTCACGGGTGATGAAAGCACAGGCTGTAGGCATCTCAGGATGGGGGAAGAGAGGTTTTCTGTGGAGATGCCCCAGGGTCTGTAGAGGGACAAATTGGGAAGTTTACTGGAGCAGTGGGAAAGGGTCAGATGGCAAGGAACGTCCCAGAACTTTGTATAGGGGGATAGTTTCAGGGAGGGTGTCCCTGGACTCTGTGTGTGTGTGTGTGTGTGTGTGTGTGTGTGTGTGTGTGTGTGTAGAATCACTTGAGGCATCCTGGAGCTAGGGATCGCCTAGTTTTTTTCTAGTGGAGAATGGATTATTCGGCGTTTGGCACATGGAAGCAGCCGGGGGAAAGAACCAACCATTTAAGAGTTGGAGATACCTGGGCCCCATTTCTGCAGACTTCCTTCTGCAGACTTCGCCCCCTACTTGTGACGACGTCAAGCCAGTTGGGATTGCCTTGCTCATGTGCCTCCTCCCATCTGCTTTTTTGATTGTGTGTCTGCAGCCTTAGAAATAAGAACTCTTAGACAGCTGTCTTTGTATTCCTAAGATGTGTCTGTCTTTAAGCAAATCTAGTCTGCACATTTTGGATTTATTCAGAAGCTTAAATTAGAGTATTCTTTTTTTAACCTTGAATTTCCTGATTGATACACTATAGGATTATTTGAGAGAACAAATTCCCTAGTGATTTAAAACTAGTCAGTTTACAGAAAATCAGCTTAACTTGACACGTTAAGTTGTGTGCTATGCTCTAACCACTTTGTTATGGGAAATAGGAGAGCAAGGCAAGGCCCTTACCTCAAGGTGCTTTGTCTGGCTGGGAAGATGAGACCTATACATGTGAAATAGGTAAATAACAGCATGAGACAACACTACATGTGATAAGTATGTGAGTTGCAGTGATAGTAAAGGCTATAGGCCTTCAGAGTAGGGCAAGGCAATGATAAGGGCAGAGCCCATTACAGCTTACCAAATGTTTCATATCTGTTATCTTGTGTACATAAGTGTAGGGTGGGAGAAAGACGGAGGGAAATGAAGATTGAGCAGGATCATTCAGCTCTCCAAATGGCAGATCCTGTCCTGAATCTAGGAATTGTGATCCTACAGGTTTTCTTAGAGTCATGGAGAGTTACATGCATTTGGGCCACCCGATAGAGTGAAGCGTACTCTTTTTCACTAGTGTTAAGGTCTCTGAACATAGACCCCATGTCCAAAAAACCACCCTGCTAGAACATGCTAGTTTACCAGGGCAAAGCTCTGTTTTGGGAATAATGTCTTATTGGAGACCTTTGAGATTTGATATTTAGAATGGAAAGGGCCCAAGAGATTATTTTTAAGATAGTAAGTGTTCCCCTATTGTTTTTAAATCAGGAACTTCCAAAGTGTGGTTGCTTTTATAAATGGAAGAAACTGTCATTTACCTGTCTTTAAGCAATCACTCTCAGTGTGAGGTTGCTGTTGGCTACTTCTAGTATATTGTTACGTGAGCATGGCATTGTGTTTTATCTGTTCTTTACCCCTGTTTGAATGTTGTTGGTCTGATGTAGCTTTGTTTCGTTTTAGGAATGGTTTTAGGGAAGACTATTGCCTGATGACAAGGCTGTCACTATCATTCTATAACCTGACATGATGGGACCAGGCCAGCCAGCTTCAACCTGTGTTCATCTGGCATCTAGGGCCCAACTTGATGGGAGGAGCGACCCCACAGTACTTCAGACCCAGGTAATTCTGTTTTTACCTGTGATTTTTATTATGAAATACTTCAAACATAAAATTTGAAGGAAAAGGACAACACTTCTTTGAAATCACCTCCTAGATTCAGCAGTTGTAACAATTTTTCCTATCTGTTTTTCTACCTACTCAAACATGTGGCTCTAAAATTTTTGCAGAATCACCCCAAAGCAAGTTGTAGTCATTATGACACTTCTAAATATTTGAGAATACCTCTCCTAAAAATAAACTCTCCTACTTAATCATAATAGTATTCTCATACCTAAGTAAATGGACAAAAAAAATCCCGTTACCCAGTAACTAGTCTTTATTCAGCTTTACTCAATTGTCTCAAAAATGTCTTTTCTCCTAGCTTTATGAAAATCTTTTTTTTTTTTTTTGAGACGGAGTTTTGCTTTTGGTACCCAGGCTGGAGTGCAATGGCGCTATCTCGGCTCACCGCAACCTCCGCCTCCTGGGTTCAGGCAATTCTCCTGCCTCAGCCTCCTGAGTAGCTGAGATTACAGGCACGTGCCACCGTGCCCAGCTAATTTTTTGTATTTTTAGTAGAGACGGGGTTTCACCCTGTTGACCAGGATGGTCTTGATCTCTTGACCTCATGATCCACCCACCTCAGCCTCCCAAAGTGCTGGGATTACAGACATGAGCCACTGCACCTGGCCGAAAATCTTAAAATATACAGCAAAGTTGAATTTTACAGTGAGCACCTAGATTCCATTGTATTTCACTATATCTGTTTCACTGCATATCTATCACTCAGTCATCCCTCTAGAGATCCGTCCATCAATCCATCTTATATTTTGACACATTTCAAGTCAATTACAGACATGAGTACCCTAACTACTTCCGCATGCATATTGTACATTCAAATTCACTCTGTTTACTGTTTTTTCTTTCAATATACATTTTACATCAGAAATGATGAATACATTGCAGTGTGTACATCTTTTCACAGTTGCTGAGTTTTGACAAACTCATACACCTGTATAACCCGTAATTCTATCATGATATAGATCATTTCTATTGTCCCAGAAAGTTCTCTTAATGCCCCTTCCTAATCAATCCCCACTCCTCCTCTCCAGAGACAGCCACCAGTCTTATTTTTTCCATCACTGAGTAGTTTTCCCTGATCTTGAACTTTATATAAATGGGATCATATACTTTTTGGTATTAAGACTTAGTTTACTAGCTGTAAAGTTTTTGAAATCTATCCATGTTATTGTATGTGTCAGTAGTTTATTCCTTTTTAATCCTTTTTGCTCGTTCCATAGTATGAGTATACCACAGTTTGTTTATTCATTCTCCAATTGATGGACACCTGGATGGGATTATTATAAATAAAGCTGCTATGAACATTCTTATACAGATCTTTTTATGAACATGATTTCATTTCTCTTGGGTAAAAATACCTAACAGTGAAATTGGTGGGTCATGGGGTAGGTGTATAATTAGTTTTACAACAAGCCACTGGACTTTTTACAAAGTAGCAGTACCATTTTACATTCCTGCTGACAGTGTATGAGAGCCCCAGTTGCTCCACGTCTTTGCCAACACTTGTCTTTTTAGCCATTCTGGTGGGTGTGTAGTAACATTGTGGTGTACAAAGAAATTTTTGTAAATTTTGACATAATTTTAGACTGACAGAAAAGTTCCAAGAATAGTACACAGAATTCCTGGTTACTCTTCTCCCAGAGTCCTCAAATGCTAACATTTTGCTACATATTCCCTCCTTCTCTCTCTCACTATCTCTGTATACACACATAGTATTTTCTAAACCATTTAAGAGTAAATTGCAGACACAATGCCCTTTTACCTCTAAGTATTTTTTTTCTAAAAATAAAGACTTCTTTTACGTAGCCATAGTACAGTTTTCAGAATCAGGAAATTAACATGAAGTTACTACTACCATATAATCTACAGACCTTACTGAGATTTTGTTAGTTGTCCCCATAATGTCCTTTATAGGAAAAGAAAATCCGAGATCATAAGGTGTATTACATTGGCATGTCTCTTCAATCTCCTTTCATCCGAATGATTTCTGAGTCTGTTTTCATATTTTGTTACATTGATTTTTTTGAGAATATAGGCCAGTTATTTGTGGATTCTCTCAATTTAGATTTGCCTGATATCTTCTTACAATTACATTCAGGTAATGAACTTTTGGCAGGAGAACCGCTGAATGATACTGAGTGCTTCTCAGTGCCCCATATTGGGAGGTATCTGCTGCCAATTTAGTCCCAGCACTGACAGTGTTGACTTTCATCATTTGATTAAGTTGGTATCTGCCTAGTTTTTTCACTGTAAAGTTACTCCTTTGCTTTTTGTAACTATTTGTCTTTGAGACTATGTTAATGTCTTTTTAACACCTCAAACTTTCACCAACTACTTTGAGCATTTTTGCCTGAATCAAAATTTTATTATGATGGTTGGCTAATGGGGATTTCTAGTTTTACCCTTCCTTCTACATTTACTAGTTGCCTTGCTACTGTAAGGAAGAACTTTCCCTTCTTTTCCTAGCAATTATGTATTTAATTCAGCACAGACTCATTATTATTTTTATTACCATTATTTATTTTGATACGCAGATATTTATTTTGAAGTTCAAATGGTTTTTGATTTGGCCTGTGAGAGCCACTTGGAGTTGGCCCCAGTGTCTCTTTGACATGATCTCATCAGTCTTTGACCACTTTATGGTATAAAAAAACACTCCAAGGCCTGGCATGGTGGCTCACGCCTGTAATCCCAGCACTTTCAGAAGCCGAGGCAGGCGGATCACAAGGTCAAGAGATGAAGACCATCCTGGCCAAAATGGTGAAACCCTGTCTCCACTAAAAATACAAAAAATTATCTGAGCATGGTGGCATGTGCCTGTAATTGCAGCACTTTGGGAGGCCGAGGCAGGAGAATCACTTAAGGTGAGGAGATCAAGACCAGCCTGGCCAACATGGTGAAACCCATCTCTACTAAAAAATACAAAAATATTAGCTGAGCATGGTGGTGTGCACCTGTAGTCTCTGCTACTCAGGAGGCTGAGGCAGGAGAATAGCTTGAGCCCCTGAGGCAGAGGTTGCAGTGAGCCGAGATTGTGCTACTGCTTTCTAGCTTGGGTGACTCCATCTCAAAATAAATAAAAAATAAAAATAAAAAGATACTCCAGGCTCAGCTTGTCTTTTCCTCATCGTAGCTCTGGAATTAACTGTTTATTCAAGGACACATTGATTCTTCAGTGGAGAATGAAATTTAGAAAATCAATATCTGGGGCTGGATGTGCTCCTTGTGTCACTATTGCTAGGCCTTCTCTGAGGACAGAACTAGGAAATAGATGTATACTTGTGCATATACACACATGTACGCTCCTTCATAAATGCACATCCACACTCACATATATCTCTATCTCTGCACTTTCTCATCTCCTTTTCTTTTTTTCTCTTCTCTTCCTCCTTCTATATATCTCTTTCTGTATCTGTCTGCCCATATGTCTGTACTAAAATTCACGAGTTCACACAGATAATCCCCAATTCAAATGCAACACTCTATATTTCTAACTCCCTTGTCCAAAAGCATGAACGCTGGCTCTCATTATTCACAATATGTGAAACATTAACATGGTTCCAAATATACAAAAAGGTGTATTCAGAAAAGTGATCTGCTACTCCATTCCCTCTTGCCTTTCCATCCTATTCCTACCTGTTCCTGTAGATAACTAATCTCGTCTCTGATTTTTGTTTTGTTTCTTTTTGTGCAAATGATTCAGATGCATATATATTTTCTCATCTTTTTTTATATGAAGGGTAGTATATTATAAATCTCTCCACATCAATTCATAGAAATGCCACAGAGATCTCACTCATTTTTTTTTTACATCTTTGTTTTACTCTATTGTGTGGATAGACCATTGTTAATTCAGCTACTCTCTTCAATGGGCACTTATGATTGATTCCAATAATTTACAATTATAACACGGCATTGAGTAACTCTGTACATGTGCATTGTGGGAGGTGTATCTGCAGAGTAAATTTCTAGAAGTGAGACTCCTGGATCAAAAGGTAAATGCCAGACTTGTCCTTCAAGTTGCCTGCTTGGGTCTTTTTCAAGTGTCTTTTCTTTCTTTCCAGCTGTAAAGCTTTTTAATAAAAAAAAAAAAAAAAGTGATGAATGCATGTGTTTTTGTTAGATATTGCCAAATTCCCTCCATAAGAAATATGTCAATTTACATTACCACCAGCACCTCTTCTATGAGGGTGCCTGTTTCCCACAGCCTTACCAACAACATGCATCGCTGTACTTTGAAATGTTTGCTAACCAGTTGGGTAGGAGATGGTATTTCCCTGTATTTTTAATTTGTGTTATGAGATTGAACATCTTTTTATGTATTAAAGACCTTTTTTAATTTGTATATTTTTTTTTTTTTTTTTTTTTAGTATTAATATAGATGGGATTTAACCATGTTGGCCAAGTTGGTCTCAAACTCCTGACTTCAAATGATCTACCCGCCTCAGTCTCCCAAAGTGCTGGGATGATAGGCATGAGCCACTGCACCAGGACTATACCTCAGTTTTTAAAAAATGTCAATGTATAGAAGCCCTTTGTATTAGCAAGTATTTTCTTACAGTTTTTCTGTTCTTTTGACTTAACCTATGGTATTTTTTGTCAGGCAGAAGTTTAAAGTTTTTTTTTATTTTAATGTAGTCAAACCTGTGACTTTTTTCTTTTATTGCATATGGATTTTGTGTCAGTTAGAAAGCCTTTCCCTATACCTAGCTTAAGGTGAAATTCACTTACATTTTTTTTTCTAGTACTTCTGTCAAATCCTTGAGATATTTTAGATTATTTTTAATTTTGGAAGAAAACCTTTTTCCAAACACCGTTCATTAGTCTGTGTACTTGTCAGATGATATCTATTTGTTTTTTCTTTAGTGAGGTTTTCAACTACTTTTTAAAAATCCAAAATAGTTTCCTGAAGTTTTATCATTGTGGATTATTTTTAAGTGACTCCTGATGCATGTGATTATATAAATATGTTCATTGTGAGAGCTGGGGAGGCCATCTCCAAGGTAAAGGCATCACAGGACTTGGTTCATTCAGTTTGTAGGCATGGATCCTCCTCAGACTATTTACCTGTCTTTGACAGGTTCATTCTGGAAGGCCTAAGGAGGGTACATATTGAAAGCCATAAATTTGTTTCTTTCCTTTAACCTGATAATCCTAGAACAGACCATTTAGCTTAAGGAAATAATTTTAAAAGTTTAAAAAACTAAATGTATGGCGATATTAATTGAGGTAATATTTCTATTAGTGGAAAAACTGGAACAACTAAATGTTTGATAATAAGGTTATAGTTAAGCATGAAAAGACCATTCACTGGATTTTGGAAAATGCAACCATGAAAAATAAGAACTGTAGGGATATGGAAACATGCTTATGTTTTAAGCGCAAAACAAAACAAACGTGTTGTTTATTATGAGGAAAACTGACCAAAACTTGAGCCTGTGTAAGAAAGCATAAGTGGACTGTTTCGAGCAAGATCCTCTTAGGGGCAGGATAAAAGATGGATCCAGCCACCAGATGAAGTCTCAGGAAGACCTGAAGAAGTATTATCAGATGGCTTGGGTCTGGTGTGCTGTGTGATACTATCCCTGGAGCAGATTTTAAGAAAGCGCCAATGGGTTATATTGGCCACTTGCCGGAGCCTGACATTTTGAAATAGGACAGAAGTCTGTAACTGGGAAATTGAAGGACTTAGCAGTTGTCACTTGAATCTTTCTGGGTTGACTTTTAGAGGTGGGTCCCAGTATGACATTAGTACACAGAAGGATAATAGTATGGGACTGGGCGATTGCAGGATAGAACCAGGGCTATGCGATGAACCCAAGGGTGTAGGAGAGTGGCTGTGTCTATCAGTAAAACAGAAAAATGCTTCTTAGCACTAATGGTCTGGTGGGCGAAATTTTAGGAATTTGATTATAGACATGTACCAATTGTGCAATAGGTAATTTTTCTAATGTCTGCTTACTTGTATTTGCTTTTTAAAGAACCAGCTGCAGTTTAATAGGAATGTTCCTACCCATTCAAGCAACTTGGCAATCCGATATTCTTGCCCACATGCCATTAGAATTGAAAAACTGAAGCACTCATACAATGAATCATACCATTGTAATGATGCAGATTGTAGAGTTGGTCCTGACCTAGGCAGTTCTGTTTCATTTTCCGTCATATCAGAAGAGAGACTTAGCTATGCCATCCACCTGGCCAGAAGAGATGTGAAACGAAGACAATTCGAAGAACACATAAAAGAACATCATCTCAGAAGTCAGCCTCAAAGCTCTCAGAAGTGTGGACACACTAAGTATAAAATACCTGACCACAGGGTGGAAAGGAAGGAACCAAAGAGTCAAGCAGTCTGTCAGTGCAGCCACCAGCCATCCAAAGTAGAAATCTCCAGCTCGGGTGCCAAAGTATACCTTTACTCATCTCATCCAGGCCAGTCAGATCTCACCATGCCAAATTCACCACCCACCCATGATCCGGGACTTCAGCTTCATCCCAGGATAGGTGATCACAAAAACATCAGTGAACAGAAAAGCCTGCTAGAAGTCCAGCGACTCCAGAAAGAATTGAGCAGTTGTATCCACAAAATTGAAGAGGTAACTAAAAAAGGTGAGAAAAATTTGATTCTTTACTTCGACCTAAGGCTGTGAGTGTGGGATAGTTTTTAAATGTATTCCTTCAGGACTCCCAGCCCCTACAGCAATTTCATTCCTTCCTTTGTGTGTTGATTTACTGGAGTGTGAGCACTCAGGACAAGACAGGCTTGGAGTTTGACCCGTGTCTTGCCCCAGCTCCTCTTTCCAGCAGAGGGACACGAAGGAACTTCCTCACTGTGGCTGTCCTTGGAATGTGCACTGCCTGTGGGCCCAGCCTAGGAGGTGGCATTAATGTCTGAACCTTAGGTCTTCTGGCTCCTGGGTGCAAATTATCCTATCATGTTTTCCCTCTTCTGGGAAAATTATTTTTTAAATTTGCTCAAAAAAAAGCATAATGTATGTATGTTATAGATAAAACCCATTCTCCCTTGGGCAGTATTTAAGTAAGTACACACCGATGACAAGGGAAGTTGTGGGTATATGTGTAAAATGTTTGACCACAGGGTAGAAAGGAAGGAGTGTAATCATATATGGTTTTCTACAGTTCTCATTGTTCTCAGGGCCCTTGCATTTCCTTGCTGAGGAGAAGACTGGTTCCACTGGAGAATTTGGGGTTACTGTATTAACAAGCAGGAAATCAAGCCCAGCTTTCAGACAGCAAGGGATACAGAGTTGAGCATCACAAGTAACTGTTGCACCAGGATACTACACAGCCTAGAATTATTTTTTGCATTTTCAATTTAATATATGCATATGTGCATCTTATGTAAAGAATTTAAGGTACCTTAAGAAATACCTGTGATTGAACAAGATAAAACAAAAATGTGCATGAGGATATTGTGGCAGAGGAAAAATAAGGAAAGGAAAAACATTTACTAGGGATGAGTCACAAATTTGCTTCTGAGCTTCTTGAAGCCAGCTAAAGAGGGAACTTCAATCACCTGGAGAATTTACAAAGTCTAAGACAGAAAAAAACTATTGTGTAAGGAAAGCAATTATTCCACATATTAAGGCCAGAAAGAAATTTCTCCTGTGAGTCTTCTTAAAGAGTGTGTTACATAATATCATGAACAATTCAAAAACATTCTAGTATAAAAGTAAGAGAAATGTTGTGGCTTGTTTCTCCTGACACTACTTAGTGTCAGCCTGTGGCATGACTCCCCACATACTTTGAATAGAAGCCCTGCTACCAGGGGAATGAAGCCATGAGGTCCACTGCTCTGGTAATCTGGCCTAATACGGGGGAACTGTTAGCATAGAGCTTTCAAAGTCTCCATGAGGAAGGACTGGGTTGGTTTATTTTATTTACACAGATTTTCAATCTGTCACAAGTCAATACTTTGTGAACTATAATAAAAATGTCACAGTAGTGGCAAACTGGTATGGAAACACATAAATGTATGGTTTAAATTTCTGTCCTTACCTTTCATGGACTAATAATAGTTTACGATAGCCCCTTGCTGCAAACCCTCTGTCAAGTAACCCCGAAGCACCCATTTGTGCTTCCCAAATGCTGCTTTGTAGACTGATGCAAGTGCTGCATCAGAGTCGACTGCAATGAGCCTTCAAATCCAACCACCTAAGCCTGTCCCATTCCTGTTCATATAGGTATAGGAATCCAGATTTTCTCCCTACCATGCAGCCCAAACAAGAGATGAAAATAATTAGACATATAGGCTCTCATGAGACTACATCTATATGTCTCGGCTCCTGACTGCAGATTTCTGCTTTCTTCCAAACAGCCTTACACTCTTTGCATTGTTTGATGTTTCTTTTTTTAACTCCCATAACATTCTTTTTTATTTTATTATTTTATTTTTTTGAGACAAGGTCTCAGTTGGTCAGCCTGTTTGATGTTTTAAAAAGTAAATATTAAAAATTTGAAATTATAAAATATACTTTTACTAATTAAAGATTGTCTTTTCTTTGACAATTGGAATATATTGAAGTTCTGTATAAGAATTTGTTTGTGTAAGTGTATTTGAAAACTACATCCTGGAAGGAATAGATAAATTGTATCTCCCTCAGGCAATTTTCCAGAAACAGTTTCTTTGGACCAATCTTTTGAAGGTGTAGAGAACCAGTGTGTACAAGGGGATGCTTGCTGGGAAATACTTGAAGACTCTAGACACTCAAATAATTTTGAGACTTTCTATCTTAATATGTTAGAGAAAGGATTTGTCTTTTGAATTCAAGATTAAGGCTGGGGCCTGAGAATCACTTGACTGGGAGGTAGAGGTTGCAGTATGAGACTGGTGACAGTGTGAGACTCTGCCTCAGAAAGAAAAAGAAAAAAAAAAGATTAAGATAAGATGCTATCTTAATATCTCTCTCTTTTTTTTTTTTTTTAGACAAAGTCAGTCTCACTTGGTCGCTCAGGCTGGAGTGTAGTGACACGATCTCAGCTCACTGCAACCTCTGCCTCCTGGGTTCAAGCAGTTCTCCTTCCTCAGCCTCCCGAGTAGCTGGGATTACAGATGCATACCACCACGCCTGGCTAATTTTTGTATTTTTAGTGGAGACAGGGTTTCACCATGTTGACTGGGCTGGTTTCAAACTCCTGACCTCAGGAGATCTGCCCGTCTCGGCCTCCCAAAATGCTGGGATTACAGGTGTAAGCCACCATGCCTGGCCAGGATTTCTCTTTTGAATTCAACATTTGATTATTCTCTGTTAAACAGCAAAGAGTAAAGAGCATGTTAAGTGTCTTTCAGGACATATTAAGTGGCTGATAAACAGGCATTTATTAATACCTTCTTTACATTGTTAATCTTGCTAAACATAAAAATAGGGCAATAAGGAGTTTTTGAAAAAATAGCAAGAATAACAGATTCTGGTTCAACGTAAGGAATTCTAAAATAGTAAGAGATGCCTCACAGTGAAATTGCAGTCCAGTGGGAATTCCGGCTGGAGGGGAGCTTGATGGAATAAATGTCTTCATGTCTCTTCCATCTCTCAGTCAGTACACAGGTCCACTTACTGCTGGTTTCTTGGCTGATGAAAAATGAAATTTTCTGTTAGGATAGCCTCATTTTTTTTCTTAATAAAACCAGAGATCTTCAACTTTATTATTTTTGTAAGTAATCAACTTCTATAAGCATTATTATAAGGTTTATAATCCACTTTTGGGGAAAACTATTAATATTTTCAGATAGACTAGAAGAAGCTTTGGATCCAGATGAAGAACGTCGAGTCCGTATCAGGAGACAGGAGCAAGCTGTTCGCTCTGCCCGAATGCTCTACGTCCTCCAGCAGCAGGTGTGAAAAGTTCAGGGAGAAGTAATGCAGTCAGCCTTGTGTACTGCTTCCTTAGAGAGTTTCAGCTTTCCTTTTGTCTCAGACAGTTTAGTGCTAGAGTATCCCATAGGAGTTCTGACAGATTTGTGAGGCTTAATTTCCTGAACACATGGGCAAATAATTCTCATTCTTGTTGTAATCTGCCTGTGTGTGTGTGTGTCCAAACTTCTTAAACAGAGGTTCTTGATTTTTTGAGGTCATAGACCTTTGACAATCTATTAAAAGCCACTCCTCCCCATCCCCAAGATGCTTATACATTATATAGCACATATTTTTGTATAGGAAGTCAGGTGGATCAGTTACCCTGAACCCTTGGTCCCAGCTATGGACCCTAGTGTTAGAGGAAAGAGACCTTGTTAGTTTCCCATGTATTACATGTTTATAATATTAAAAGCTTGTAGATAGTATATAATTTGATTATTCTTTATTAATTTGATTACTCTTTACAGTAAAGAGTAAAGACCATGCTAAGTGTCTTGCAGGACACCTTTAGTGGCTGATCCACAGGCATTTATATTCTCTACATTGTGATTTAAAGAATTTTTTACATTGTGATGTAAAGGATTTTTAAGAAGTGTTTGCTTTGATTTTAATGCCTTATACATTGGCAAGCCTTTTATTCATTTCTGGTCACTGAAATCACATGTTAGCCTTACTGCTTGAACCAAAAACTGTACTTTTCATTTAAAAGAAGATACCTGAGTTAGATTTTGCACTGTATTCTTTTGGGTTCTATTTCAGTTCTTATTCTACACTGCTGCTGTAGAGATTGCTCTAAAACATGACTCTTGTCAGACCTCTGCTGAAAAGACTTTAGTGCCTCTCTGTAACTTAGAGGATGAAAGCTAAACTCTTCAGCATGACATGTAAGACTTCATGATCTGGCCTGCCTCCATTTCTAGAGTCACCTCCACCTTCACTCCTTCATGCTAAATTCCTCTTCCACTGGGGACCAAGGGATGGAAGGTGAACACTGCCTAGTCACCATCTTGAACTGGAAACCAGTAACGGTATTTTGGGTGCCTTTTGTCATTTTCAAGTGACTTGAATTAATAATGGTTATGTTTGGACAAGACAGGATATATCAGTGTATCCTTTTCTACAAAAAAGATCAGTGGAAAGGTATGAAGTTTCTTCTTTCCCCTTTTTACAAAACAGGTTAAAGAAATCCAGGAAGAGTTGGATAAATTGAGTCCACATAAAATTAAACACACTAAGAAGGTATGCTGCAGTTAAATTATGATCAATTCTTATTTAAAAATTACATTTCCCAATGTTTTCTTAGTATTGTATAGGACCCTCTGCACTAATGTTATTTTCAGTACTTATAGAAACCTGTTATTGAGGAAGTGAGCACCTTAAATATTCTGAATATGGTTGCCTTCCAAGGAACAGGTTCTAAAAAATACATTTTTGTTGTTGCTGCTAATATAAGAAATTGGGAGTAGTAGGGAAAACACCATCACTAGAAAACTTTAAACTTTACAACTCCCTTTACTATAAAAAAGTTTTTACTATAGAAAGCACTTTAAACAGAAAGAAGATAGGCTATAAATATTGTTAGAAGCTGGGCGAATGTTAGGAAGTTCTGAGTGTGGAAATAACTTCTCCATCTTGTTTGTTACCAGTCATGGGCAATGTCTAGGCTGGCGGCTGCCCATCGAGGAGCCATTCGGGCCTTACACATGTTCATCACTCAGTTTACTGACCGAGGGGAACACCCCCTTCCTGCTCGGTGCAGGGAACTGGGCAGCCTTATTCGCCAGCTTTCACTTTGTTCTGCCAAGCTGGATGCAGACCCTTCTGTTCCTGATGTGGTTATAGACATTCTGCAACAAATTGAGGTATGGAATTGATTACAGTTTTTGTTAGGGGTGTATTGCAAGTAATGCTTACTGTTACCTAGTTTCGTTAGGATTTATGGAGAATACAAGACAAAGCTGTTACCCAGTGAACTGAAGCTATGCAGAGGGCCCAAGGATCATTTCATTTTTATCTTGTTATTTTTACGGTCTAGCCTATATTATCGTATTTCACTACTTTGAAAATTGGTGACTTGAGTATAAAACATATAACAACTTTAAACCAGGTTCATTAACTAAACAGAATGTTCCATTCCCTGGCCCATGCCATTTAAGAAAAAAATGTAGAAAAGGAAACCAGTAAAACATTCTTAAATTAGAATAACAGTGTTTAAGTTGGATGGATTTTAGTAAAGAAGAAACACTGAAAGATACAGTATGTGGAATCAGAGCCTCAAATCTTGTGATATAGCTGGAGACTTCTAGAAATCTCGGCTGGCATGTATTAGACAGGAATCGATAATGTTCTTAGTTTTCATTGGTGACAAAGACAACAATAGCAGTATGCCATTGATTTTATAGTTCTCTGAAGTTTGCGTGGTGTTACCATATAATTATGCCATTTGAACCTTTCTGTGGCAGTATGCTTTTCGATTGGTTTTACTACTATTGTGCAGATTAAGATTTTTTTAGAAAAAGCAAAAGTTGGAGAGATGACAGTTATTTTCTTGGGAACTAGAGATCAAATTCTTTCTTCTGACTCCCATGCTAGTATTAGTTCCCCTATGCCGTACATTTTCATCTGCAAATAGAAAGGTGATCTTCATGTTAGTGTGGCAGAGTAAGCCGTTAGCTGTAGAAGAATTCTAGATTAATGACACTTCATTTCTGCCACCATTAACTAGTTCTTGGCAGTCTTTAAGGCCCCTTCTTCCTTCACAGGTTCATTTTCAAGCAAATGTGTCTGTGATTTTCACTGGTTACATTCGTATGTATAGAATTCACTGTGAGGAATGCTGTTGTCAAACGCAGACCTCAGAATTTTTAGGCAGCATATCAAGTCATGCGATGCTTTCTTAACTTATCCATAAGAAGCATTTATGGGCTGAAATAACTTCATTTAGAGTATACATCTTCGTAATCCTAGAAGAGATCCAAAGAGACTGTCTAGTCCCTCTCCCACATTTTGAGCTTGAGTAAGAGCACCTCTAACATCATTCATTCTTTCTTTCTTGTTTTGAGATGGAGTCTCACTCTGTCACCCACACTGGGGTGCAGTGGCACAATCTCAGCTCACTGTAACCTCCGCCTCCCAAGTTCAAGTGATTCTCCTGCTTCAGCCTCCCGAGTAGCTGGGATTACAGGTGCCTGCCACCGCACCTGGCTAATTTTTATATTTTTAGTAGAGATAGGGTTTCACCACATTGGCCTGGCTGGCCTTGAACTCCTGACCTTGTGATCCACCTGCCTCGGCCACCCAAAGTGCTGGGATTATAGGTGTCAGCCACTGTGCCTAGCCCAACATGTTTCTTTCTTTTTTTTTTTTTTTTTTGAGACGGAGTTTCGCTCTTGTTACCCAGGCTGGAGTGCAATGGTGCGATCTCGGCTCACTGCAACCTCCACCTCCTGGGTTCAGGCAATTCTCCTGCCTCAGCCTCCTGAGTAGCTGGGATTACAGGCATGCGCCACCATGCCCAGCTAATTTTGTGTATTTTTAGTAGAGACGGGGTTTCACCATGTTGACCAGGATGGTCTGGATCTCTTGACCTCGTGATCCACCTGCCTCAGCCTCCCAAAGTGCTGGGATTACAGGCTTGAGCCACCGCACCCGGCCCCAACATGTTTCTTAAACAGAATGTTTATCTCCCCTACTTTTCAAAATGCAAGACGTGTTATCTTTCCTGTTGTGGCCCTACACCATTTCACAGCGCATTTTCTTACTATGTTACTGTTCTCCAAACTAAGTGTTCCTGACTGTGTACAGTTGTCCTTAATCTGTATTGACCAGGTGGAGACTGGGCCCTGACTTCCCAGTAGTGAATGCATGGGAACTTATTAGAGAAAATGCCTTTTTTAGGAAGATGAGACACAGATCTTCTACTCTTGTTGTGTTGGACAAGTGACCAAAGCCGCTGGACCTACTAATGTCCTTTAGTTCATGAAAATGTATGTTAAATATAGGATGTTTACCCACTTCAAAGACTATTTGAGTTTATGAGATTTTTGTTGATGATTAAAATGCTTCTGAAGCAGATGGTATAATATTCTGAAGACTGTAATTTCTAAAATGATGATCCTTTAAGATTTGGATGCCTTTAAAAGTAGTCATATTTGTTATCTCTTTGCTATTGGCTTTAGTGAGCTACACATCTGAAAGAACTAACAGAAATTGTTATTAATTAATTAGATATCCTAAATAATGACATTTTTAAATTAAGATTTTGTTAACTGTCAGAGATAGCCATTTAATAACACACTTCTCTGGAGTCCTTACTTTCAGTTTTGTGATTAAAAGTATACTTTTGTGAGTTAAACTAAAAATAATTGACTGTTTCATGGCAGGCTTTGGAATCTCTCCTGGAAAAGAAACTGTCACCAAAAAAGGCGAAAAAGTGTTTCAGTGAAATTCGGTTTCCTATTGGTAGCCAAAAGACCTTAGAGAGATGGCCAAGTATATCACTAAGGGGTGAGAGGAGACCCGTCACAGCAAAGGACACATTTCCACCGGAAACAAGTCGCCCTCCCGTGGCAAAGAAGCTTCTTGCTGGTATGTCTCTTAAAAGTTTTTATTGCAGGATATTTTATTCATCAAAATTATCTGGGCTATAACAGTTACTGCACTCAGGAAAGTCAGGATTTTGGACCTAGCTCACAACAGATGAACTTTAATTAGGATCAGTAAATAGCAACCAAGATGCTTCCTTAGGTTCGAGGCTGGAATATTCTATGTATAGAGGAAGGTTGAGGGTAACATTTCCTTTTGCTACATCGTAGTGTTTGGGGTACCCAAGGCAAATTCCCTTAGAGCTGGAAGCTAGAACCCTACTTTAAAAAAAAAGTTTATTTTATTTTAATGATTGATATATGTAACACATACAGAGAAAGACACATGCATTCGGTATACATATATATATATATTTTTTTTTTTTTTTCTTTTTTTTTCCTCAGATAGTTAAATAAACTTTTGTTATTCCAAGAAGCGGAATTGTTAGGTGATACAGTATGCACATTTAAACAGATTGACAGCTTGCCCCTTTAAAGTGGGCACACATTTATGTTTTGACTAGCAGTGACATCAGTATATATTTCCCCACATCTTCATCAAGTACATTATATAATAAAGTTTTTAAAATTTTCCAGTCTCAGTGGACAGTGGCATCTTCTTGTTTCATATTGCATTTCCTGATTCCTGGTGAGGGTTATCGTTTCTTCCACATGCTCCTTAGCCATGTTATCTCCTCTTCTGTAATTTGCCTGTTCATATTCTTTATCCATCTCCCTCCCTGCTGGGTTCTAAGAGTATTTTGCTTATGGATGTATATGTTATGATACTGCATTTTGTTGGTCTGAGGTACACATTTGAATGCTTCTGAAATCATTATTAGTTGGTGATAACTTGTAGTTAATTGTAACATTTTAACATTGTAAACATTTTAAACATTTTAAAATTCCTGTTGATATATAAACTACTGATGTGTCTTATAATTGATGTTTTAGCTTTGATGAAATATGAGGCCTGGTTACTTAACTCTTGTATTTCTCTAGCTAGATGAGATTACCTATAAATAAATATGGACAAATCCAGTAAACTGTTTTTGTTTTTTTTGTTTTGTTTTTTAATTAAAGTAGAACATACAAGCTGGGTGCTGTGGCTCACACCTAGCACTTAGAGAGGCCAAGGCAGGTGGATTGCTTGAGCCCACAAGTTTGAGACCACCCTGGGCATCATTAGTACACCCTGTCTCTACAAAACATGCAAAAACAGACAGGAGTGGTGGCTCACATCTGTGATCCCAGCTACTTGGAAGGCTGAGGCAGGAGGATCACTTGAGCCTAGAAGGTGGAGGTTGCAGTGAGCTGAAATTGCACGACTGCACTCCAGCCTGAGTGACAGAGTGAGTCCTTGATTAAAAAAAAAAAACAAAAAAAAAAGGGGGGTAGAACATACAGATAGAAAAGTACACAAAATATAGATTTATAGCTCAATTAATTATCAGAAAACAAAAACATCTGTATAACTACTGTCCAAGTCAAGGAATAGAACATTACCAGCATCTAAGAAATTCCCTTTTGAGTCACCCCTTCCAATCTTTATCTTCTTCATCTTCCCCAGATTATTCTGATTTTTTTTTTTTTAACAGAGTCTTGTTCTGTTGCCCAGGCTGGAGTGCAGTGGTACAACCTTGGCTCACTGCTTCCTCTGCCTCCCAGGTTCAAGTGGTCCTCCTGCATCAGCCTCCTGAGTAGCGGGGATTACAGGCATGAGCCACCACACCTGGCTAATTTTTGTATTTTTGTAGAGATGGGGTTTCACCATCTTGGCCAGGCTTGTACTCCTGACCTTGAGTGATCTACCTGCTTTGGTCTCCAAAGTGTTGGGATTATAGGCGTGAACCTCCTTGCCTGGTCTGTTACTGGTGTTTTTAACTGTTTTAGAGTTCTATATTTAATCTACTTATATTTAATGAGATTAATGACATATTTGAACTTTGTTCTACCTTATTTTGATTTTCATTTGCCAAAGTTTTTTTCTTTATTGTAATTTACTACATTAATCCGAGATTTTCCTTTATTTTTTCCTCATTGATTTGAAAGTTATATCTATCAGTCCAGAATTCAGCTGATTTATTTCTCAATCTGCCACTATTCTGTGGAACCTTAATAGTTTAGCGTGCCACTTCTATCACAAGCATATCTGTAAGAGACAGGACTGTTTTCTTACTTACTTAAGACTCTCAGTACTTCAACTCTGACACCAAATGTGTGGATGGTGTTTTTTTTGCCACACCAAACAGTTATCCAGGAGATACCAACTGGGTATTCTGTAATTCAACTCAATTCTGACACCATCTACCTGGAATTAGAGTCAGATACCATGGGTTAAGGTTCAGTCCCATAAGACACCCCAACTTCAGGCACCAATCCCAAGTTTCAAGTTGTGACCTATACTTCTGATCGACAGGCTATAAAATTGGGATTCCCTTGACCCACTCCTGGGGTTTGCTAGGATGGCTCATAGAACTTAGAGAAACACTTTACTTATGTTTACCCATTTATTATAAAGGGTATTTATAGAGGACACAGATGGAAGAGGTGCATAGGACAAAGTATAACATGTGAAAGGGTCGTGGAGCTTCCATGCCCTCTTTAGGGAAGCTCCCCTCCAGGAACCTCCACGTTTACCATCCCGGTAGCTCTTCAAACCCTGTAGTTCAGGGATTTTTACAGAGGCTTCATCACATAGGCATGATCGATTATTAACTCAGTCTCCAGCCCCTGTCCTCTTCCTGGAGGATGGAGGATGGAATTGGCAGTTGCAAGCTTCTAATCATTGCATGGTCTTTCTGGTGACCAGCTTCCATCCAGAAGTCCTCCAAGAGTCACCTCATTAGAGGGAAAAAAAAAGTTTCCTTAGCCAGGAAATTCCAAGGGATAAGAGCTCTGTGTCAGGCAGTGGGGTTAAAGACCAAATATTAGGAAAAAAAAATGAATCTAGCACCCCTAATGCTCAGGAAATTAGAGTAGTTTTAGGAGCTCTGTGCCAGAGGCTGGGCTAGAGACCAGATATATGTTTTTTATGGTATTACAATAACAATCCAATTAATTCATTTCCATTAGATATTTACTCACTTTAATGGGATGTTCTCTTTCCTTCGTTGGTAGGCAGGTAGTACTAATATAGTATCTTCCTTTTAATTAGGAAGGCTGCATTTGCTAGCCTTTCCCTTGAGGGTGGGTGTCAGATTTATTTGTCCTTATATTCTCTATGCCAAGCCCAGCATCTGCCATATAGTTAGGCAGTTAAGTGCTTGTTGAAAGACCTGTGAAGAAGTGTAATTGAGTAAGAAAAGATTTCTGAGTAGCAAATCACAGTAACTTGAATCCTGGGTGCTAGGGAGCTCATTTTGATAGACTGGAGGAAATGGAGAGAACATTCCAGGCCTTGACACAGAGAAGTATTTGCTAAATGAGTTAGAAGATTTGAGGTGCCCATCATATGACTAGTGAAAAATAGAGACCAGTTTCAGAGAGAAGTTGCAAAACCTGCTGACCTAAAACTCGTTACAGGAATAAATGTAGGAAAGCTGGGAGGCAGAAAGAGAAAACCTGGACCAAGAAGACCTAGATTCCAGTCACAGCTCTGCCAGTTTGTAAATCTGGGTTGACTTAATCTGTCTGAATCTTTTTTTTTTTTTTAATTTTAGACGGAGTCTTGCTCTGTCGCCCAGGCTGGAGTGCAGTGGTACGATCTTGGCTCAACAGCAACCTCCACCTCCCAGGTTCAAGCAGTTCTCCTGCCTCAGCCTCCCAAGTAGCCGGGATTACAGGCATGTGCCAGCCTGCCCAGCAAATTTTTTGTATTTGTAGTAGAGATGGGATTTTACCATGTAGTTTAGTCTGGTCTCGAACTTCTGACCCCAGGTGATCCACCTGCCTTAGCCTTCCAAAGTACTGGGATTATGGGTGTGAGCCACTGCACCTGGCCTGAATCTTAATTTTTTCATTTATAAAATGGGAAGGATAGTCTTTGTACTTTGTGACTGACTTAGTTGTTGTAAGTGGTAAATTATCTAATTGCTAAATGCTGTGAAAACGTAAGGTGGCATTTTTAGTTCTTAATAGCGCCAAGTTGTTAAGAAAAGGCTAGATTATGTTAGGCATATTCTAACTAAGCAAACAAATATTTGGTGGCTAGTTTAAAAGGAGTTTTTTGAGGTCATAGAGGAGTAAACTTCAGCTCTCTGGGAAATGTATTTAAGGGAAACAGCTCTATAGTCCCTGACAGGGCAGAATGAATGGGCATCACCTGGGATCAAAAGTCAGAAGACTTGGCTTTGCCACTCCTTGGGACCTTGAGTAAAACACCTAAGATTGTGGCAACCTTCTTAGTCTTATTTTATATTTGTTATTTTTTTCTTGTCCTTATGATCTGGATTTCAGAAGGTTACATTTTCCTGTTTCTGTTTTAGGTATCGCTCTACCTAGTTTTTCCATTCTGATTTCCTAAGGTCTCCTCTTCCCTGAAGAAATACCCTAGGAAATCACTTTACCCTAAGGAAAACCCTCCGTATGCACTCTTCATTTGGGATATATGCTTGAGCCTGATTTGATCAGCTGTCCTGTGATTTACATGACAGTTGGCTGGTGTAGTTTTTTTGTAGCTTCTGAACTGTTCTTGCAGTGGTGGATTGCATTAGTGTAACTTGTCTATGGCTATGAGGATGGTGGCTTCATTGCCACTATCAGCAGTGTCCTCAAACTCACTCCTGAAACTTCCGCTGCATTTACATGTTGATCTATGCAAATCATAACTGGAAGGGCAGGACCTACAGTATGCAAATCATAACTGGAAAGGTATCAGGACCTACAGTCAGAGTTGCTTGGATGTATATAAGCTTGGGAATTAAATAAATTACAGACCAAGGATTTAGTTTACCATTCTTTTCTTCTGATTTATATTTTCTTGCTGTGTAACTTCTATAGCTTTGAAAAGTACCTAAAGAGGATGTAGTGCCAGGAAATCTGACCTTTGACTGACTATTAAAG